AGTAAAAATTCATCTACAAAGTTTTCCTCTAAATCGGATGAGTAAATTTTCACCAAATTTTGCGCTTTTAGTTTAATCTCAGATTCTGACAAATTTTTGTGAACAAGAAAACCGAAATTATCGTACAAATCACTGTAAGCTTTACGCCTTTTAGTCATTTCTGAAATTAATACATCGAAAATGGCGTAATACGTTTCCATACGAAGAAAATTTCAGCATATATTTTGAAAAGAGGGGAGGAGTGGGGGAAGGAGGGGAGGGCCCATAAACGTCTGTGCCTAGGGCCTACGAAAGGTATAATCCAACTCTGCCGTCACTATAATAGACGTTCTGTCTTTCGTTCTCTTTTAAATGCATTTATACAAGATCATACCTTTTAGATTTGCTTAAGTTTTTGGTTTCGTTCCCTGCTGGCTAACGCTCGACAACCACGGAGTTTTCAGATCGCTTCGCAATTTGAAATTTTCATTTCTTCCCTGAAAACTTCACCATTGATGACTTCACGCGTATTGTAAAATATTATGCTTTTTTAAAAGTAAAATTACTTCACAAAAAGTGATTTATTTTACAATATGCATAAACTAGGGATGTACCGACCAACACCTCCCTCTCCGGAACAGACCAATATCACCGGGTATCCAGAGCCAGGTAACACTGATTTATGTTTTGTATAATAGTCATTTAAAAAATAATAATATTAACTAAAAATTTTAAAAAAAAATTATAGTTTTTTAAAACCATGTAGTGAACCCAATCAGAAAGACGTGCGAAGATTGCAGGATGCCTGGGGCAAACGATTAAATTTGATAATATTCTTTCCTGAAATGAGGCGTATAACGCTTAAAATGGTTCAAGAAACAAAATTGGAAAGGTATGTAGTAATTATATTTATCTAAGTTTATATTTTGAAAACTTTTTTTAATATAAATGCAAGCAGAGCCGGATTATACCTTTCGTAGGGCCTAGGCATAGCCGTTTTTGGGCCCTCCCCTCCTTCCCCCACTCTTTTCAAAATATATGCTAAAATTTTCTTGCATATTTTTTTTTAACATTTTTATTAATATGGATTTTAATTTACAAATTTGTTTATCGAACTTTATCTGCAATACCGATATACTGCCGATATTGCAGTTGATATCGATAATACCATTATGATTAGTTCGATCGATAACTATGTAAACACTTCACAATTATTTTTAATTATATTAAATTTAAAGCTAAATTATTTTTGTCAACACATTTTTTTCTCCCAAATTTTTCGTAGGCCCTAGGCACGTGCCTAGTGTGCCTATAGGTTAATCTGGCCCTGAATGCAAGTAAACGGATGCACTCCAAGTACTTGCCGGGGACGTACCATCCCTTTGGAATTAACGATAGATACAGAAGAAAGACTCACAAGTACTTACTTTGCGACGAATCATTCATACCAAACCCTATTATCCCAATAATCCGTCCAGCAGACATACAAATTATTCATTTTGATTACAGTTCTCCTAACAATACCGGTACTATTGAAATATACACAGATGGTTCAAAGTTGATATATATTATATAGGAGCTGTTATAGGAGCATCCAACACCTTCAGAGTTGGATGCTCCTTTATTGTTTACAATGATAATCACCTATTACAAAAATGCAGATTCAGATTAACCGAACATTCAACTATTTTTTAAGCCAAACTTTGGGCTACACATATTTTTTAGGAAGGAAATGAGTTTTTATTATTATTCATAATTAAAATATTAACAATTATATCAATGTGCAGTTTCTTTTTACCCAACCGTCTCTATCCTCTTTATTATAACAATAATAGTAAACATTAGGATACTCTGTAGGAAAAATTAAAAAAATTCCTAATTAGAAAAAATTACAAAAATACAAAAATTTCAGATATTTATTTTTAATTCAGATAACAAAAAGGTTTATCACAGTTAGCAAATAAGATTACATAGTTATATCATCAAGCAATCTTTGGCACATTTATATAAAAATAAAGAGAAAAAACGAGTTAGAAAAAGAATTACAAATGCATTAAATAAAAGTAGTAGGCATTTTAACATAAGGCAATATTAGAAAGTACAAATAGTCTACATTATTACACACGTGACACCATTTATAGCAATAGGTTGGCCACTGCCCAGACAAAACCATAATTCTTTGAGATTACTAGAGTAAAATTCATAAAATTTAGCAAATTGTCTTGATTTAAATTAACAAAATTTTTCAAGTAATTTAAATAATTACATATATATAATTTTCTATTAAGTTTTTATATTTAAATGCAATTGAAAAAGTTTTGTATTAATCCAAGCTGTTAATTTTTCTAACTAATATTGTTCATTGTTCGAAGCCTGTAATTTTCATCATATTAGAAAAAAAAAAGAATTATGAATTCTTTAAAAATATTTTATTACTTTTTTTACATGATGGACAGGAATTGGTTTTCAAAAATGATTATTTTCTTTATATTTCAAGATGCAAAGAAAACTAAAATTAGAACTTAAAAAATGAATTATTGATCCAAATAGTACTATAATATATAACACTAGTAGTATATATTATATTATACTAGTATTATATATTATATTAAAGTACTATATAGTATATAATAGTACTATAATATAACATTATTGCTATAATATATTTTATAGTAATAAAAGTGTGACTGGATAAGTTTTAAAATATACAATTGGTAACATAAAAATACCTAATAATAAATTGAAATGCTCAGTTCCTAGTGATAAGATAATATTCATTCAATACTGCTAATTGCTGATATTCCAAAATTTTTCTTTCTTAGAGTTGAGGGTATATTTTCCTGAGAATTCCAGGTTTTCTCAGTGACTGGCCATCCTGGATACACATTACAATATTCAATATTGTAATGTGTCAATATTGTTCAAGTTTCCAGATATAGCAATTTGTAACCAGAGGACAGTAAAATTATTAGGTGAAAAAAACGAAACTTTATACAGTTATATTTGACAAGTTATATCCTTCTTTCTCATTTTAATTGATTTTGCATCTTTAATAACAAAAATAAATAAATTTATTTAAAAATGTGGTACGAATTTGATTGCATAATATATAATGTCCTATTATCTAAAAGAAAGAGTTAATCAAAACTGATTAAATAAAAGAGCAATTCTTTTGTAGTTTTAAATATAACAATATACAAAAATAATTTTATTTCTCAGCAAAATTAGCATCACTAGAATTTTATTTACTCAGTAAATAATTTTTATATACATACATAGCAACTTTATTCTACTAGATTTTGCACTTTTTTTTTTCAGGTTAAATCAAAATGTCTCCAATTTTAGTAAATTTTCCAAACTCCAAAAAGTTTGGAAATTTTTCGAAGAAACTGCTACTGTTTTTATGACGTTGGAATATTTAAATAAGTATTACTGCTAACTAATGCTGGACACTGGTTCTACGAGTTTCAGGGTGAAAATTATTGTGGGCCATGTTCTCTAAACACAAAAAAGTGAACACATTTTAATGACTAAAATAATTTGAACACATGAATGCTTAAAAATTAGTTAGAATAAGGTGTTAAAAATAATTATAATGTAAAAAAAAAAATATCAAAGAGCACATTAGAAATAATACATTAAACAAATACAAACTTTACGCAAGTGGAATCATGAGAACAAAGATAACATTTCTTTAAGAAAGATTAGTGGCATGCAGAGAGACAGTGGGGGCCGAAGGGCAAAATGACCCCAGGCATCTTGTCGAAAGGTACATTCAATCCATGACTTGAGCACACTAAAACATTTAATTTGATGCTAGATTACTAGAATTACTTTAGTAGGAATTTACATTTTTTACAGAGTAAATACTTAAATTTAGGAAAACATTTTATGAAGATTAAAATATGATTGGTAAAGAAATTTAACTATGAAGTTTTCGTTACTTAAAATGTAAAAGTTTTTTTCCTCTTAAGAATATTTTGTTAAAAATATGAAGTTCTTCAAAACAATAATTATTTCCACACATTATTCACACATAAAAAACTAATTTTAAAAGGGGGATTTAAATTAATACGTTTATTTGCCCTGCCCAGAGTTTAACTAGACTCTTCTTTTCAGGGACATTTAATTGAGGAGTTGGTCCCAGGCATTCACTTGATACCGAACTCCCCAAAGGGCGATAAAAAAAATTTAAAATACCATAAGAGATAGCTTTGTAAATTTAACAATGAACATGTTCAACAAGATAACAAAAAACAAAGTAAAAGTTTAGGTAAATAAAAGCATCAGTAAATTCATAATAGTTAATTCCCTTTAGCTCACATCTCTCAATTGATTACAGATTAAAAAAGTAACATAAATACATAATATTTTACTCTCTGCTGCTCAAATATTTCTGCTTATTGCTTAGAATTATTTTAGCAAGTGTCTTTTGGGATGCCAAACTAGATAATTTACTCCCCCAACACATTTCATATTGTGAATCTTCCAATTCAGGACTGCAAGTAATAGGGTGAAATACATGGACAATTCCTGGATCAGCGGCACGCAGAACTGTAAGATTGCTCCGAACCACTTTTGAATAAAGATCAACATCTTCCTTTCCCCATCCTCGAATTGAAGTATCAAATCCTCCAACTTGTCTCAAATCCTCGTTATATATGCTTACAATGCCATAACCAAACTGTCTCCAATATCCCCTTTCTTCACTTAAAGAAGGTATTTCTGAATCATTTTCTAAATATTCCGGATCATATTCACTAAAAACAACAGGAAAATAGACCTGCTTAGATTTAATTGTATTCAAACGTATTCTATTCAAGACGCCGACATCAAGAACAATATCAACATCAACAAAAAATAATAAAGAATATGGTGAAAATGCTTTTGCACCAACTTCCAAAGCAACTGCTCTTGAAAAGGGACCTTTTGCTTCAATTAACCGTAAGTCATATGCAGGATACCTTCTTTTTAAATCTTCTAAAATCATTTTAGTTTCAGTTGAATCATCTTGCTCAGATTCAAAATAAACTACAGCTAGATGAACTTTCTCTCCAGTTTTTAAAAAAACCACTTCAATATTATTTAAAAATCGTTTAAAATTTTCCAAACGTCCATATAAAGGAACGATAATATTGATTTTAGTATTCATCATATCTGTGAGTGATGGCACAGAGTTTTGATTAATATCTTCTTTAAACTCTAATTGGGAGAAGGCTTTTTGAAGATAAGCATGACGACGAACAGGAACAGTCATCTTTTTACCCCTGTACTTTCTATATGTTAATAACATATCTAGTATATAATCAACTCCAAACAAAGGATTTTCTCTAATGTATCCATATAAAATTTCCTTGAAATCTATAACTCTTCCTCTCTGCTTAGAATATTTATTAATAATTTCCATTACTTCCATAACTACATCACTCACCGCCAATTGTTGGTAAGCTTCTAATCGCTTTTTAGGATTAATGCTAGAAATAGAGAAAATATGTTTGCTGATAAAATCCCAAGTCAAGGTTTCATCCCGATTAACAGGGAAAAATTTGTTTAAAACAGGTTTCATTCCTAATATTGAGATATTGTAGTGATTTATTAGGTCATTATTTCCAAAAGGTTTGGTGTCTTGTAAAAGATTTTCCATCTCAAGAATGTCTCGATATAGATTTAAAGCATTATATCTCAAATCTTGTGTGTGTAATCCATGAAAGTAGCTATGCATGCGATATAGATAAGGTGGTTGCTTGATAGGATGAAGAGTTATGGCTCTATGGATTTCCTTGGTTTTTAAACGACCTGTGAAAACTTCTTCTCCACTGAAGCTGTGGTAAAATATACTTTGCATCTGGAGAAAAAAAATATAATATCAATTATGTGAATGAATTTCAAGCATGTTTGAATTATTTAAATCACTAAGAGTATTTATACATATATATTTTTAAGAAATATTGAGATAATCAATATTTATGCGTTAGATATACAGATAAAGAGCAGTCAGACAAAGTTTTTCTTGAAAAAGAAAGATACTTTTTTTTTCTTAGAAAATAAGTTTGCTCTTTATTAGTATTTTAGAAAGAAAACATTATTAATTATAGGTAATTAAGTCATTTCTAAAAACAAACTACCAATAATTTGCAAAAAATAAATTATACCTCAATTAATTTATTTATTTTATCAAACAGTCAACTATTTTATCTAATAACTTATTTAGCAATGCACAATCTTTTTGAGTGAAGGGCCACTTAAACAGCAGGTAAACTAACCAAGGGTCGTATTTACACATTTTGACGGCAAATATAATAAAGACATGCTAAAAGGCAATCTCTATGCATATTTTTTTTCAATAATTTAAACTCAAAAATAAGAGAAAATAAACATTTTAAAATGCATTTTTTTTTAAAAAAAGGTATTCATTTAAAAAAAATAGTTTTAAAATCACTAAAAAAATTTGCTACAAATTAAAATTTATTAACCCCCCCCCCAAAAAAAAAGAAAACTATAAAAATTAAATCAGTTGAGACTAATCCTAACAAAGAAAATATTTGTAATAGGATTCAGAATTAAACCAAGAAACACAGATAATTTTACCAGTGTCTAATTATTTAAGAACAATGAATAAATTTTTTTCAAAATAGAACTTGAATAAAAAGACAATGTTTTTAATGGATGGCAGCTTCCTTTTACAAAAAAGGGTGCATTTATTGGGATCAAAGGGCAAGCAGGGTGGGCTGCCCTTCAAAAAACACTTAGGTAGAACACTGCTTTTATCAGGACTTTGAAGTAGAATCTAGAGGCTATCAAGCTGCCTTGTTAAATCCTAGGCTTTACCGATAAAATATAACTTCTACCAAAGTGGATAGGTAAAAGTATTAAATATGCTTTAATATGATTCTATTTTGACCTTTCACAAAGTTCTCACATTAAAACCTAGCATTTCCCAGATAACAAACTTTTACAGTAACGTAAAACAAAAGAAAATTATAATTCTAAAATATTGAATTTAAAGTTAAACAACATTAATATTTGTTTTCTTTTAAAGTAAACAACAGACATAAGTTAAACTAATATATTTGTTAATAAAAATGATTATTTGATCTGTTTTAGGAATATTCAGTTAGAATATCCTCTAAAAGCATTGCTTTTAAATTTTATTCATTCAGAAAACTTGTAACTCTTGAAAAGACAAAATTTTTCACAATTGTATAATACATATTAGATGTCCTGCAATCAACTAAACAATTATGAAAAAAAAATTGATCAAAAAGTTATTGTTTCATTTAAAAAAGCAAATTGGACTACAAGAGCACACTAAAATAATTTATGTTGAAAAAATAACAATCACTAACTTATAAACAAATGCATTAAACTTATGATTATTTTGAACAAAATATTTGCAGTGGTTCAATAGAATTTTCACACTCACTTCATATGACCAAGTACAAGGAATGCCAACAAACTTTCGGACACATCTTCCAACTTCTACATCTTCATGAGTTGAATAAAGGTTTTTGAGGCAATATCGAATGTGAGGAATAACTAATCGTAAGGTGTCTCGACTCAGAATCATTCCGGGTCCACCCATGCAAAAATTTTCATCCGGTTGTAAACTGAGTTGCCCGAATTCAGCCTTATTTCCAAGACCAGCTTGTCCTATAAATTGAGGTTTGCTACTATTTACAGATCTCAAGAACTTCTCTAAAAGTTCAGTTCGAATATAAACATCATCATCTGCTCTCATAAACCATTCAAAATCATCAATAAAGTTGTCGTGCATAAACTTTAGCATTAAAAATGACTTCTTTTGGGGAGGATATGAGTCATCTACATTTTTAAGTGGAACAAGTGGAAGAGGAAAGTTCGATTTAGATGTAGAACTGGAGAAAAATATAAGTTTACCAGGTACTGTCTGACCCCAAGTATTGTGAATAGCTAAAGCTCTGGTTTCTAAGTATTTCTGAGCAGTCATCACACCAATAAAAAGAAGTTTCTTATCTTCTGATAACTCTGAAATGTTGACAACATCTTCTATAAGAGTTTCACTATGAGATTGATTCTGAAATGATGCACTTTTACCAAATGTTGCAAAACAGGGTGATTTTTGTAGCAATATATAACGCAATTTGGTGGTGATAATGAAACCAATGATGGCACCGAAAAGTAAACGCCACACAGGAGAAATACCAGCCATAGTTAGAGATAGAATCTACAAAAAAAGACAGAAATGTCAAAAAATACAATAATTAATAAATATAAAAAGTGATAAATGTATAAACATGAATTATTCACACTTTTCAATCTTGGGTTTTTACTAGGTTTCGTCAAGGTGGACCCAGCCCATAAAGACCCAGTGAGTTTTTTCAGATTGGGCCCCCTTGCAATAACCCATCTTTTTTCCCACCAAGTGGGTATTTTCACATTTTATTACTTCCGATAAATTTTCTTCGTAGTTATCAAACTAAATTGTACTTTTAAATTATCTTATATAATTGTGGTAGGCTACACAAGTACACGGCATTATAATACCTGGTCCAATATAAATATTATGGGTCAATATTAAGAGGAGATAAAGGCTTTTGTTATAATAAAGGTAATTTACTTCGAATTCCCTCATTTATCGCTATTTAACATAGTCTTATATATATATACACAGAAACCTATAGGACCATATTGTAGACCCCCATTAAGCTTATAATCACTTCCCCTGGTAGGGTACACTAGTACACGGTAATATAATACCTTCCAATATAAATATTATGGGTCAATATTAGAGGTCATATAGGGTTATGTTAATACAAAATTTTTGCATTGAATTTCCTTAATTATATAATTTTATAAATTTAAGTTACTAACTTTTTATATAAAATACATTTTGGTAGTCTGATTTTCACAAACAAAATTGTGATGTACTAAATACAGGAAAAAATAATGTACACGATTAAAAAAAAAATGTATTGCTAAATTATAATGTATTACTTATCTATAAAACAAATTATGTGTGATTTGCACACACATATTATACTTATTACACAATTCATGGGATAAACAAAGTTAGGTCATTTATACTTTCAATGCCTATTCAATGATTATTTTAGCAAACACAAAATTTCTGTTAAAAGGAGATAAGTTTCCATATACGAGCACGAATATTACCAAATGTTGATCGTATATATTGTCTGTGATAGGTTTCTTAAAGCTGTGACATTGCCAAATAATTGAAATGCATATTTTGTAAATTTGAAACTCTTCAGGATCTCAAAACTTTTAAGAATTTACTTGACATTTGTTTTGTTTTTGATTTGCAGTATCAATACGTTTCCGACTGCTTATGTTTGTTGAGTTTATGATCTTTGTGTTTTTGGGCTAGTTTAAATTTCTTAACAAGATACTTAATGGCAACAGTAATTTAAAGGTACGTTGAGGGAAAATTTAAAAAACAACAAACAATTAAAATAGAGGGAAATCGAAGTACGTTTTCATATATTTTAAAGATTTATCGAAATTTTATTTTAAAATATATTTATAATCTAAAGCAAAAGTAATATATTTTTGTTTCGATCATCAATATCAACTGAAACAGTTAACACTTTCGCTTTGTCATGATATGTTTATATTGCAGCGGATGTTTAATACAAATTGTTAAGAGAGATTTTTATATACTTTCTCTTTAGGACATGCATTAAAATGTCCAAAATTGCCTTTTATTCTCATAAATAGAGTATTTAGAATTCTAACTACTTGAATTTCTATCTGAGAAGTTAATGATTTTGTAAAAATTCGATTATAAAATTCTTATGTCAAATAAACGACTTCAATTTCTCGAGCAATTCAGCTTTCTAGTTGCATTATTGAAGGAGTTGGTATTATGTAATTTAGGTAGTTCTAAATATTTATAATTTGAAAATTGTAATATAATAAGCTGAATTCAATTTTATTAGAAAGTGGTAACTCTATAAATAGGCTAGAATGATGTAAATAAAGGTTGTTTCATTGAGGATATTTCCGTATCGTGATCTGTTGCGGCAGTTACAATCGCCATGGTACCAAATAGATTTTAAACTTGCCAATTTTTTTTAAAATAAAAATATGTAAGTGTTTGCCCATTGGTGGCTACGAGTTATATTTTTCGAGTTGGTCCCTTTCTGTGATTTTTTTTTATTTTTTAGTTTCTCGCAGGCCGCTGTCTTGAAGTTGCCAAGACTTGGCGATTTCTCTGCTACAGATCATGATACAGAAATCTCCCCGTTGTATTTTTTGTGAAATAAGTTATTTGTTCATTATACAGTTTGAAGGTTTCTTTATCTCATAAGTTTGAAGCATTGTTTAAAATAAAATTAGGAAATCTCATTTCTTCACTCACAACTCTTATCACCCACAAACACAAAAATATATCTCACTGAATGACCTATACTTTTCAATTTTTATCTTTTGAAATTAACAGAGCGATTCTGCTAGACTTTGGAAAGTACAGATCCTTTAGACTCATGATTTCCCAATTTCTGGGTCCTTTTTTGCCTAAAGCAGGTCTCAATTTAGATAATTATTTCTTTTTTTAAAGATTTACAAGTAAAGTAGATTACCATAATTGCACATTTTCATATCATTCACCTTTTAAAGTTCAAAATCTGGTAATATTTTTCAAAGCTAATAAGAGATACATTATTCTTTTTCGTGTCCACATATATATACATATACAGTCTACGCTCTTTAGTTAATTCTAATGACCACAACATGCCGACTGCCACAAGTTCCGTTTGAAGTTCCATTGATGTAATATTATTAGAATGTCCAAACTGAACCTTTCACTTCCATATGCTAATCAAAATTTTGTTTAATTTTTTTTAATATCCGTAAATCACTTCAAAAGAAGGTGTAAGACATTTTTGTGCTCTCAAGATTAACAGCTTTCTATTGAAAACAAGTCAATTGATATCAAAAGTCTCATGAATACTTATTTAACCACAATTTTTTTAATCCTCCTAATCTATAAACGTGAAACATCTTGAATTCCATTTGAATTAAAACAGAATGACAGGACCCCCTATTCTAAACCTAGGAGGTCCTGTGCATAATCTAGTAAAAAAAAAAAGAATTGTAAAAAATGTATTTCTTAGATTTATTAAGAATTTCAAGTGTATATTGCAGCGTCATTTAGAAATGAGTTTCTGGTATAATTTTAATCTTTAAATTTTTTAATTTAAAGCATTTTGTTTGCAATAATTTAAAGTCATGATGTAATTTAAAAGGCAAAAGAATTATTATTATTCAACAAATGCCAGTCATTGACTATTATGTCATTAGGCTTCTAGCTCTCCAGTACTTCTCAACAATACAGTCAAAGTCTTTTAGTGCAGAGCACATGTCCAAATGTGCAGCAGTCATAGCTTGTCCGGAGTTACATAAAAGACAATCTTGTGAAGAAGTCAGTTTGAGGCGAAATAAATGAGAATGTAGACAATCATGTCTGGTCAAAAGTCTATACATGACTACCGCAGTAGCACGGGGAAATTCGGAACACTGAGTTCCACTGCGAGATAAAGAACACTGCTAGAGGACATTCTCTCTAGCAGTGTGACATGTCAAACAATGGAACAATTGTTTGAAGATTCTATTTATTTCAAATGTAACGGAATTTTATTTCAAGTATAGTTTCAGTTTAGATTTAGTGCTGTCTACATGGGTGCAAGTCTTCCGTCCCCAGGACGGATTTCTGTCTTTTGAAAATGTCCGCAGACGGAAGTAAGACGGAAACAAGACTGACTCTTTTAGGTCTATGTTATTGGTCTACTTTCTTATGTCCTGTTATTTTATCAAAAGACAGATGAATAAATATTTTTTGTACAGTGTTTAAACTTGATGTATTATGGTAAAGCTTTCTTAGATAGTTTGCATAGGTCGAGGGGGTATTGTCTATGTTAGGTATTTTAGTCAAAAAATTTTCAGTCTTGGCCTTTTTTCCAACTTGCACCCATAGCTGTCTATATAGATTTCATAAATTTTACTACAAAATATAGATATTTGTTAATAATTTATTTAAAGTGAATAATGACATTTATTTTTAGGTTTAGAATTTGGGCAATGATCTTGAGACGTAAGAACCTAAGAAACAAATCCCCAAAAAGTAAGGTATTGCAAAATGTTCATGTTCCCACAAAGAAATATCTAAATAAGACAAAGCATTCTAAAAAGCAGAAGAAATCTATAGACAATGTGACACACTTATCACAGTTAAATAAGCACAATGAAACATCTTCCAGATCTGATTCTTCATTCCAAGAGTCAGTACGATTGACAAGAAGTAGTACTAGTTCAGGAAGTATTTTTAAAAGTAAGGAAGCATCAAAAAATTCTGCATCTAGTAAAGGTGGTTTTCATTCCTCTTCTGTCGATGATGGCGACTTATCTTGCCGTAAGATTAGATTAAGGAGTTCAGTAAATGTGTCTGAATTTGCTTCAAAATTAAGGAAGAAAAATGAAAACTTGCCTGAAAAATCTAGAACCAAAATTTCTTCTCAACATTTAGCAGCTAAAAGGAAGAAAGCAAAACCTTATGACAAAGCTAAACATTCTCAAAAAACTACTATACAATCCCAAAATTCAGAAAAGAATAAGAGCTGTAGAAACAAAAGAAATTTTTTCAAAAAAGCTGTTGATTCCACTTCCTGCCTTGATGGTATGTATTTTAGGTCTGTTCCTATTGATGATTTTTTCATAACTGATTGTCGAGCTAGATTGAGATCATCAAGTTCATCACGCAGAAGCATTTTAATTGAAGAGGAAAATAATGAAAAGTATCATCAATCTGCCAGCGCAAAAGTTTCTAAAATGAAGTTAGCAAATAAAAAACTTGTTTCTCCTAAAAAACCTTCTAAAGTTAAATCCACTCAGAAAAATGGATTAAAAAAGATAGAAAATTTTAAAGATAAAAAGAAAAGAATTCAAGTAACAAATGATAGCTCTGACAAACTTTCTGCCAACAATAAAAAAAGTTCTATTCTTCCTTCAGTGTTCGCTGAAATGGATGATTTAATTTTGAATACTTCCATCTTATATGAATCTGAAGATTCAAGCTATGAACTGCGAAAAAAGAGTAAAAAAGATTTGCAACTTCAAGGTTTGTAATTTTATAACCAAGGTTGTTTTTGACTAAATTATTTGATAAGATCTAAATCAAATGTTCTTGGGTAATATTGATATTAATTCTTTTATGCCATAATTTGCTAGGGATGCACAACCTTTTTGAGTGAAGGGCCACTTGCTCAAGAGGTTGATTAATTAAGGACCACACATATGCTCAGTCATGTTGGCAGCAAAGATGATAATTTTTATGTAATCATTAGTGTGCTAAGCACTAAATTATTTAATCAATAAAATAAGTTACATATTTGCAGAAATTAAATAGTTTTAATTATTAGAATTCATTCTCAAGTGAAAAAATTAATACTTTTTCTTAAATGTTTCCCTTTCTATCAATAAGTGATTTATCACTGTAATGTTCTAAGAATAAAACTAAAAAACTGTACTGTTTTAAGAATGAAAGTATATAAAAAAAATACATGCATATTTTACTAAGTAATATAAATGTAAATTAAATATTTTCATAAAAAAAATTAATAAGGTTTAAACAAAAAATAAACTGAACCATAATAGTACAAAATAAGTATTAATAATTAAGTATTTATGCGATATTTTTACTTCAGATATTATTTCTATTTCTTGCATTATTAGAGGTTTCATAAATTATAATTAGAAAATATTTTCTTTTTCCTTTTTTTCTTAAAAAATCGCCTAATCTACAAAAAATTTAAAACAAAATAAATTACCAACAATAAGGAGTTTAAAAATGTGTTTTTTTTTGCCAGTATTAAAATTTTTCAGGTTAGAATAACATTGTACTAAATTATTGCGATTCTAAATTGGTGATTTAAAATTCGTATGTCTTAATAAAAATAGAACTTTTTAAAATCATTAGGGAATGCATCACCAAAACTGCCGAAAAAATTATTGAAAAGTAATCTTGATTTACAAGGAAATCAGAAAAAGCAAACGTCAAAAAGAGATTATTTAAACATTTAAAACTGTGATTCGAAATTTGAGTGTCATAATAATATCATACTAAAAATACGGGATTTTCAAAATAATATAGAAAAGAGTAGCTATGACTGCGTTTAAAAAAAAAATGATCATTCAGATTTATGATGTAATCGGCACAAATAAAGCATGTCAAAAAGTGAACTGTGCGATTTATAACTCACGAGTAGTAAAAGTATAATAAATGTATCAGAATTTGAAAAACTACATAGAACTTAATGCATTTATCAATGTAAAAGAAAGCAAAAAATCCTTATAAATCGGGCTGCATATCAATAGTCAGCGGGCCACAGTTTGTGCACTCCTAATTTAAACTATTGATAAATGAATTATTTGATATTCTTATTTGTTTTTTATCGTACACTAATTTAAAAGAAGTTAAAAGTAATATGAACTATACCGCAGGCTATGGCCAAAGTTTGTGTACCCCTAGTTTTAACTATTGATTACTGAATTATTTGTATTTGCTTTTTATTGTATCATAATTTAAATGAAATTAAAAGTAAAGTGAACTACATTTGATTATAATGAACTATAAAAAGCAACTTGAACTACGAAGAAAAATGGATTATTTTTCTAATTGTTTGATATCTTTGATTGTATATTTCTGAATTTTGAATATTGCCTAGTTACAATACTGGAAATATAAGCAGGAATCTGTCCAGGCCGAATTTACTACCGTTTAGCGGTACCTTCACAAATTCAACTTTAGGAAAAACGGTAGTTTCACAAATTCAATTTCAGGAAAAACGGTAGTTTTACAAAATGCTTTTTCTTAAAATTTTATTTCTGTATCCCTTAAGAAACGATAAATCCATATTTTCGTGTTGATTTTTAAATATAATTTTTCACAAATTATGTCTAAATTTTCACAAAATAGGTACCTTTCAGAAAAACCTAGACAGACCCCTGATAAGTTTTTAATATAAGTTACTCTTTAAATAGGTTCTGTTTGATAGGTGATCTTTTTGGCAGTTCTTAGCTCCTTAATAGTATTCATGTATTTTGGTTTGTCAGGTCAAGTTTTATTAAAAATTTATTTTTGAGTTGTAAGGAAATATGTATTTTTTTTTAACAGCAATAAGAATGAGCCTACTAACCTTTAGTAGGCTCATTATTGAAGCTGATAATGTTAGCTAGTGTTTCGTTATTACGAAGAAAAAAAATGGTATAGAGTAATCAGAGTTCTCTAGAAGTAAAAAAGGACAGGATGGTTCTTCACAGAAAAGAGTACTTTAAGTTTTCAGAGCACTCAATAATAAAAATTTTTCAAATGTGTAATAATATGTAATAACTGAATTTGATCGTAAGCAATTTTATTCTATTTTATGTGTGTATTTCAAAAAATAATAATTACTCATTATCAAAATAAGAGAAAAATTTGTAGTTTATAAAAAATAATTAAAGGCATCCTAAAAAGCAATTCACAAATTCTTTAAAAAAAAAAAATAAAGAAAATAATGATTAATAGACAAACAACTTGAAAGCTATTTTTCTATAATTTAAACTGCAAATTATGAGACAAGGAACGTTTAAAGATGCATTTATTTTTAAAAAAAAATGTATCTATTTAAAAAATAATAAAAGATCCCTCGATAAAAGAGAAACTTATGAAAATTCAACCTGTTGAGAATAATACTAACAAAATTAATGCTTGTAATTGTAATCAGAATTAAACCTTTAAACACAGATAATTTTACCACTGTGTAGTTATTATTTAAATAGTAAATAAATGTTTTTTAATTGAATATGAATAAAAAGTTTTTTTCTTTAAGGGATGGCCAAGAGGGTGCTTCAAAGGGCTGACAGGGCTGGTCACCCTTTTAGGAACACTTTTGGAGAACACTGTAGTAATTTCGAAAAAGCTTCCTTATTTTAGTTATTCTAAAAGTTCATATTTATTATTTCCAGCCAGGAGAAGCACAAGAGTCAGTAAAAGATTGAGTCCAAGTGATGTTAAGGACGATTCAACCATGAATTTAAATAACCTTGGAAGGAAGAGGAAAGAATCAGCTAAGTGCTATACTAAAAAGACTGAGAAAATTAAAGTTAACAATAAAAAAACAGTGAATGCAACTGGCCACCAAGGGTCTGTCAAAGAAAATGTAAAACAAACAAGACTGACTGTGTCTAGTAGAAAAATAACTGATATTAACAGTTTTTCATCCCCTTTATCAGCAACAGTTCTATCTAAATCACTTCCGAACAAGTTTTGCTACCGCTTGAATTCTATTCCTGTTGATGATCTTACTGTAACTGCACTTTCTACTCCTCCTACCATTGAAAGATTATTTGCATCTAATTTGGCTAAAAGACCGAGTGTTTCATCAACTCCACTTTTAATTAAAAAAAGTTCATCTAGTAAGTGCTTTTAAAAATTAAATTAAATTTTTTTTTTTTAATATTCTTTATTTTGATAAATCTGTATGAAAATGAATTCAAACATTTTTTTATTACCTCTTTATTACCAAACCCTATTTCTATAAAAATGTTAATTTTCATTTGCTATATTGGAATTTTGTAAAAACTTATTTGTTTAAATGTTTGGATAATCTTTTTGAGGTACAAATATTTATTTAACCCACTGGTGGTTTAGCAAAAGGGCATCATTTGGAGAATGTTTCTCCCCTGTACTCTATTTTCCTATCAAATAAGATAGAAGAACCGGTTTTGTTATGCAGAGAAAACTGTTGGTTAAATACAACTTTTTATGTGCATCATTTTATGTTTATATCAGTGAGTCAATGTTAGTTTCAATTTATTTTTTGAACTATAGTAAAAATTTTAATTATTTTTTTAAAAAGTTTGCTGATGACTTATAAGCCATCTATATAATAAAATAATTCTAAATAGCAATTTGTTTGAAATTCTTTAAATTCTGGAAAATATTGGAAACTAAGTTGTACTGTTGTGTGGCTGTATTGAAATATTAAATGCAATCATATAGTGTGAAGGAAAGATATTTATTTTGTATTATTACTGAGTTTTTTTAATTCGAATAGTTTCTGCTGTCTGACTGATTGCTTCATTAAAAAAAATTTCCAAAAGTGTATGTAAAATTCGTTGTTATAGTCAGGTTATGTTCATAACAATACATTCATTATAAGTTTTTTTAACATTAAACCAACTATATATTAACTGTAGATGATATAAAAGGCTGTCAGAAATTGAAATTGAAGAATAATCATATAAAAGCAAAGTTTGAAGAATTGATCTTGGTTATATTATGATTTATTTTATGAATTACAAAGGTATACTAATGAAAATATACTAAGTACTTACAAAACATTTATTGGAAACAAAGCTTAAGACAATTTTCTACATTGCAAATTCTGCACCGTATTCGTGTTTCTTCGCAGATTTCTTTTGCCAGTTTATTATTTTTTTAGTTACAAACAGAGCACTGTAAAAAGAGCAAGTGAAATTCAGCAAAATATGCTTGTATGTTTTACAGAAACATGGACAAATGCCATCTGGCAACCTAGAACTGAATAAACAAACATCTCAGAAGAGCCGAAATGAAACCTTGAACGGGAAAAGAGTGGCTTGCACAGTTGAATAGACAAAGCGAATGCATCCTTGTGGAAATCCTGATATGTGCAAACTTTGCTTTTACTGCGTTGTCTATCGAAATTGCTGGATACTCATTGACAGAGTTAAAAATTTCTCTTGCTAAATCCGGGATTTCGTTACAGGCAGTATTAGCTTTCAGCTTAAAATTAAATTATATATATATATATATANTTAATTTTTATAATTTTTCCATGTGCAAATCCATTTCGGACCAAATCCGGGGCTAAAATTATGTGCAAAGCAGGCAATTCATGTTTCTCTTTTCTGTTATATATTTTTTCTTAAATAAATATTTATTTTCTAAATTATTTATGGTCAACTTCTTTAAATTATCCATTATGATATTACCTTGCGCACATCCATTTCGGACCCATCCTTGGTAACTAACAAATCAAAGGCACTTCAGCAATGCAGTAAGAACGGCACTTTAATATAAAACTCCTCTAGTTACGCTCAGTTTACGCCTTTGTTTTCATATTTTTCAATCTGGCTATCTTGTTACGAAAATATTTTTTAAATCATTCTTAAAAAATTTCCCGTTTATGTAAGTACATTTTAATTTGCAACTTGCTTTATAGTTTATGTTTTATTCTGTTTTTTATTTTATTTTCTGTTTTTACGTGTTATTTTTACTTATTGTAATTTTTGTGAAAAAATTTTTTGAGTGCTCCTCACACTATTGTATTAATATATTTTGCTTTGACTATATTGATACAATATCAGAAAGCACTCTTTTTTGCGGATATAATCATGTGGGCTGATGAAAGGATTATATCTTTTATTTTTCAAGATTTTTTAAAAAATTTTATCCTTTTTTTCCCCCCAGTTGTTTCTTATTTTTTATTATTATTTTTCTTCCCCCTCCCTTTTTTCATATGTCTGTAATTTTCCTTTTTTTAATCTTCATTTTGAACTTATATATTTATATATATAATTTTTGTTGTTGTTGTTGTTGAAAGTATTAAAATAGTGAGGTGATTACTGGTATTCTAATATAGTTTTTGTCTTTTAATTTTTCTACCACTTTTTTAAAAATGTCAAGCATTCTACTATCCCTAGAAACTGAATACTGAAGAAACTTTCATTATGCTAGGGGTTGACATTGTCAGAAAATCATTACCAGGTAAAGGATCCTTGAAACGTAAGCGGTGGGTAATGAACTCATTGAAAGGACTGAATGAAGGATATGAAGATGATCTTTTTGAGAATCGTGAAATCCAAGTACCTTCTCTGGTATGTTTTGTTGGATATAATAATTGTACTTAATTATGCATGTATTCAATAATATTATAATACTTAAGTATGCATGTATTCAATAATATGTGCATAATAGTTGAATATATTTAAACAGTATTATTTAAAAAAAGGATGCTCTGTATTGATACAAAATTGTAGGATTTCTTTTCTATTGCATTCACGAACCTTCTATTGAATTTCAGAACCTTATGAATTTAGTTTCTTATAGGTTTTGAACAATTCCATGCCTTTTTTAAAAAAAACCAATCATTTTTTTAAAAGTACTTTTTTGTTTTTCATTTTAAATCTTTAGTTTACTTTTTGTTTACAAAAATGCATATTTGAGTTTAGGCTTTCCTCAATAAAAATGTTTAAAACTTATTACACTATATGCTTCCCAATAATAATTGCATTTAAACTACAAAATGACATTGAGTGTATTATCCACAATCGTAATTTTTGTGGCCTTTAAAAAGAAAAAACAGTGGTATATTATTTTAGATTAATGTCTTTTAAAGAATGGATAATCAGAATAAAATAAATAATTAAATGAACAATAGAAAAGAGAAATGTAAAACTAATACTGAATGCAAATTGATGACTAAGCAAAAATTTATTACAGATTTCTTACATTTTTATACATCTGTAAATAGTAATGGAATATGAATTGTTTTGTTAAAAAATTAGAAAATAATTATAAAAATCCTACTAGATATTAAAATTTTAAACCTTTTTTTTAAAACCACATATTATTTCAATATTGCAATATAAAGTATTTACTAAAGTATTTATTGTTTCAAATTTAAATTATCATACTAAAGCTCTTTAAATGATAAATTAATTTAAAAAAAATTTATAATTTCAATCTTTTTATTCAATTCAATTTTTTTATAATTATTTTAATATTCAATTTTTTTATTACAATTATTTTTATTTAATGGGTTAGTTATTCTATACATAAACAGTTAATACCTACAGTTAAGGTTATGTATAAGAAACACACTTTGTTATGCAATTTCAATTTTTTATAGAAAAAGTTGTGAAATTGATCTTCTCATTTGCTTATTTTAACCTATTTTTCAGTAGTCAATGATACAGAAGAAAATAATTGAGTAGAAAATTTTTTGTGATTAATTTTTTTTAATAGAAAACTTCTAATCAAAATACAAATTTCCCACAAATTCAATTATTTTACAAAATGCTAATTCAAATCATGAATTATTTTAGAGATGCAAATGAGTAAATGAGCAATGAATGGGAGAGAGGATGAAAAATGTTAATGCTGTTTTATCGTCTTTGAGGAAAAGAAATAGGATTAGTTGGGATTAATTTTTGATAACTTTGACTAGAATCTGATAGACTAGATTATTTTATATGAATATGAAGCAACATAATGTCATTGCCACGTTATTGTATATATTATTGCCACTAGAAAACATATTTTCTTCAAAAATAGTTGGATGATGAAATGTATCTTGCTACCACTTAATCTGTTTTATTGATGCAATTGGTAGGAAAAATTTAGTCACGCAATATCGTGTGACCCTACCACGAGCGCTGTAATCTGTATGTAACGGCAGTGTTTTCTCTGGACATTTTCAGAAGGGCGCCCCTCCCTGTCTGCGTTTGATCTGCAAATGCGCCCTCTTCCCCCTTGTTGTAAAAAGAAGCTGCCATCGCTGAAAAACACTAGCTTATTATTTACTTTGTTTGGATTACTCTCGACTCATTAATTTTTTATAATTATCTTTTTTTTTCGGGGATGGATTAGATTAATAACTTTTTCAATGATTTTAAATTTTAAAATTATTTTTTAATAAATACCTTTTTTTAAAAGAAAAAAAGAATGCACTTCTAAATGTTTCTTTTCTCATAATTTTCACTTTAAAGTATGAAAAAAAGTTTCCAAGTTGTATTTTAATTAATCATATTTTTAGTTTATACTTCTTTTGAAAGAAATTTATGTTTGAAGATTGTCTTTTAGCACATGTTTAATTATTTTTATAAACTTCCATGAAAAATGTTTCTATTATTTTAATAATGACTGAAGATTATTTTTAGAAATATACACATAAAATAGTATAAGAGGGTAAATACACAAGTGGGCGACCTTTGTGCTAAATTGAATTTGTAATTTAAAAATTTTTGAGGATCAAATTCAGTTATTACATAATATTACACATTTTGATCAATTTTTAGGGTGGTAAGAGAGTGCCATTTAAAAATTCAAAGTGTCCTTTTCTGAGAAGCAGTGCTCTTCTCTTTTTTTTCGAGGGAGAACTCTATATTATGGTAGTTTGTCTCATGCTTACATTATCTTGCCTTAGTTTAATTTTAATTGGTTATGCGACGTATCTAATGGAAATTGCTGTAATGGATCAAAAAATACAGGATTTGTTCCAAAAAATTCCCTTTAATGTATTTGATTTGGTTTCTTTTATCAGGAACAAGGAGAATATATATATATATATATATGTATGTCTTTTTGGTACAAAAAATCATTCTCCAAAACAATTTTTTATCAGAATTTGCGATTTTGTCGCATTTGGGGAGGTGGCGAATGCTTTGCTCAGACTCCGCTTATTGGGGTTCTTTCCACTTAAATATTGCAATTTATATGACCAACGTTAACAGAGGAGATTAATTTGCAATAACTAAAAGTAAATCTTATTTGTGTAATTTTGCAGAAAAAAACATTGACAATAATAGTATTACTGCTTAATATGATACTTTTACTGCAGAGATGCCAACTTGCTCCGGACAGCAAATATATATTTTAAAGTGATAGTTTATCAATAGTGATTCTTGGTTTAATAAATTCAATTTAGTAGATTTTTATCCACCACTATTTCTAAATAATTAGTAGGCTTATATAATTCACCACTTAATTGAACTTATGTTGTGCTATGCCTTTCAAAAAGCAAGCAAAAATAGTCAAATAGTTGTAAAATTTACCTTGTAGTTATTTACCGTTTTTTTAATTATTCTGGTGCGTCCGGAGCAGTTGGCAACTCTGTTACTGTAATACAATAATAAATTACTGTTTGTTCGATGATAATTTTTATATAATGTTAACTGTAATAAAACAAATTTTTTTAATTAATTTTATTTTAGTTAGACGATTCAGACATGTCTGATATAAGCATTGCAACTCCAAAATGTGCGTACTTGGTATCTCCTAATCTCCCTGTAAAAACTCCTCATTTCAAAGATTGCTATAGTCCTACTCAACTTTTCAACTCTAGGTGAGTTCTTTGATTTACTGTTTGTTTAGTGTTTGAGAATGCTAATAAAAGTACTTACTGTTTTATTTTCTATTGACTTTAAAAAAATGAATAAAAATGAAATGTCTGGCTTAGATCCAAATGTGTTTATGTCGATTACATCTCACTTAAATACACTAGGGATAAGATTGAGATTCTTCCTGGGATCTGTTTGTTTACCAGTCTTAAATTATTTTTCTCTTTAAGTTTATTATTAAGCCATTTACCAATTTTTAAAATCATATCATTTTAATTTTTTTTCAAATGGCTTTTAAAAACCTCTATTTTTTTCATCAGAGTGATTTTAGAAGTTTGTGCGTAAGAATTTTTGTCAATTAAAAAAAGTTTAGCAACAATAGCGTAATGAGGTTATTGTTTAGAAATGCAGCAAAGTTGTAGGGTCCAAAGAGTCCAATTCAACTTTATTTCGTTATTGAAGTTGGAAAATAGAATCTTTGGTAACAGGGCAGATATTATGCCATCCCCATGGCATCAACGTACAGAAAATTTGGGATATACTTGAAATGTACATGGTTGATAGAGATCATGATACAAGATAAACTTTGAAAGACTTATAATTTTTTTTTGCTTAGAGACATATTCCACCAAGATTTTTTCTGTTAACAATTAGTTTTTAAAAGTGTTTTTAAATCTTGTTAAAATGTGTCTTTTTTTTTAAATACAGGAAAGTTGCTGAAGAATATATGCACAGGCGTAATAAAAATAGAAAAAAAAATTCAACAGGAGAAGTAAGTTTTTTGTTCTGTACATGTTTTTCTTAAAAACAACTGAACTATAAATTTACTTATAAATATGTTCTGATCTTTATGTTCATGTTCTGATCCTTATATTCATGTTCTGATCCTTATAACAGTTTTCAAATTCTATGCTAATGTGTTAAGCAGAAGTAGAGGGAATCTCTAGAAATAGATTTTATTCTGCACTCAATTCAAGTTTGTGGTATATAAAGATATTACAGATTATATTAATGATTTTTATTTATTAAAAAAGAATTAAGTAAGAAAATTATTTTGTTTTTAAATGTTTGAAATATGTTATGCATATGACCATTAAAAAATACTACTAATTAAATACTTAGCCTTCACATATTGTTTTTATTTATTATTTTCTCATTTAAACCCAAAGTTGTCTAGTTTATAAATATCCTCTCAAGCAATTTTTGTATTGATTTTTGTATTAATGTAAAAAAATGTAAAATTGCAATTTTTTTTGTTGGGAGTGGGGAATTGAAATTGCTGACTGCAATATTTGTTAAAGGAAAAGTAAAATATGTTGGTAGTTTTAAAGTGCTTCAATCTTCATCTATGGATAGTGATTATTTAGAATATCCATTAAAAGTGATGAAGAAGCAACCATTTTCCAAGAAAGCATTCGATTCATATGAGAAACTTTCTCTATAATTGTAATGATGAAATTGTTACTAGGTACACGTCAGAATATTTCAGAATTATGTAACCGTATTGAAATAGGGTTGTGAGTTATTTCTCTTTTTACCTAGTGAAGAATTTTTTTTGTATGGGATTAAAATAATAATTTTTTTTGTTGTTAAGGTTATGAAAGTTTAAAAATATAAAAAGTTTTTGCTTGCCCTGCTGAGCATTGTAACTAAGTATTGGGTGCAAAATATGACTGATAGCCCAAATGAGCTTTAAAGAAAATTCTGGCAAGGCTAAGAAATTTTTTTTACTGTAAAACATAAGGAATTGCTTTACAAAATTTTTATATGTAAAAGAAGAAAAAATGGAAAATTATCCCTGTAAAAAAAGTCTTTCAAGAAAGAAGAACGAGAAAAGCCTTGATCTACGAAAGTGAAAGCATATTTTATGTTATGTTAAAAGAAAAATTAATACTTTTTTGTTATGTTTGCCCTTTGACGCAGATAAAACATTAGCAAAGCTATTTTTTAAAAGCCAAACCGAGATGGGTTTTTGGGTTTAATTGGTTTTCTTATGGGTTGAATTTTTTTTTATTGGGGGGGGGGTTAATTCGATGTTATTTTTTTGGTGTATGAAGTAAGGGTGACATTAGAGAATTAGATCACATTTCAACAAATTTTCAAGGAAATAATGTACCCAATACTTTGAATAAAGGCTCAGCATTAGCAAACTTTGAAATTGGAAGTCAACTAACAGTAGCTCACAGCTCTAAACCAAAGTTGAAACAAGAAAGAATGATGTCAAAATTTGCAGTACGAATAGCCAACAGTCAAAAGTCAATCTTTAAACTTAAAAAAAGCTAAATTTTTTTATGCTTATAACATTGCTTTAATGCAGAAAGCAATAAAGAGTACGAAGAAATGTTACAAGCTCGTATTAAACCAGGCTATTTTGGATCCAATCGATTTAATTTAGGATGAAAACTTTTAGATGCTGCATCGTTAGAAACTGGTCAAATTTTAAAAGAAATTAATATCTAAAAGTGGATCATCTGCTACAATACTTGTTGATGATTAGAGTAATATAAAAAATGAACCAATTATGGAAACGTGCATCCATTCTGAAGAAGAAAAAAATTCATTTTCTTCTTAATGCTACAGATGCTTGCTACAGCTTTCTTAATGCTACAGCTTGCACAAATACTGCAGAATATTGTGCCAATTTTTGCACTAAATCAATAGACTATTGTTTTGAAAGTTTTAGAATCAATATTTTTTGCAATATTCATTGATAAAGAAAACAAAACGTTAAAAGCAAGAGAGATGTTGCCAGGGAAAAATGTCTACCTATGGATGCTCTGCTCACGATCTCAATCTCCTTGCAGAGAAAATCAGTAAAAAACACATTCTGAAGCATATAACTAAGGTTTACAAATATTTTAGAAATCACCACATACCACTTGGCTGGTTAAAAGAAGTGTCATGCCTCAACTAGCTAGTGAAGTTAGGTGGAACTCTATGTCCAATTGTGTTTTGTCAGGGGTCTGTCCAGACATTTTGTGAAAGGTTCGTTTTTGTAAAATTGTGAAAAAATGACTCATAATTTATGAGTATAAAATAAACGTTAAGTCACATTCTTTCAACCAGGGTCCTGCTTTTGTGAATTTGTGTAAGTAGGGTCCTGTTATTGCGAAAAACTTTTTCAAGGAGTTTTTAAATTGCAAAGACATACAAGATTATGCTCAACACTGTAAAATTATAATTAAAGCAAATTAAATTTTAAAAAATAAACAGCTATTGCTGCTACTAAATTAGAGATTCAACATACATATATTTGCTATTTAGCCTATACTGCTGAACGCAGAATATTCATTTCGGACAAATAAAGGAAGAAGCGTCTTCCGAAGACAAAACTTAGTTCCTTTACATCTGTCCTTCTCCCCCCACCCTTCCCGTGAAGGGTTTATTCGATTAACAAAACAAAAATGAAGATACATAAATTTGTGAAGGGTTCAATTAAATGATAAATTTTGTGAAGGGTTCGTTTTTAGGTTAAAATATTTTGTAAAGGGTCCATTTTTATGAAAAAATATTTTGTGAAGGGTCCATTTTTATGAAAAAATATTTTGTGAAGGGTTCGTTAACGGACCCCAATTTCTTCTAAACAGACCCCTGGCTTTGTCATTCATTAAAACTATAATCTCCGCAATGAAATTTAAGTAAAAAATTCAAATGATTTCCCTGTTAATATTGAATTTTGGGAAATGCAATGATCTTTACAAAATCTCTGAGCATGCAGAAACAGCTTGCATCTATTAAAAATATACTCTTGCAGATTCGATCTAACACAACCAATCTATCTGATGCAATTGATTATTAAATGGATTCAAAAGACAATGAGAATCTAAGTTCATAGGAAAAAATGCTCCCTTACCCCTTTCTATTTTTTAGCTATTATGCTGAATCTAAAATACAATGGAAAGGAGAGGATTGGATTTCTAAGAAAAATGCTGAATGGCTATTTCCAGTTCTGTGTTTCAGAGTAAAAGATTCAAGTGTGTACCCACACTCTTTATTTAGTGAAAGTGTAGTGAAACATTTAACTTTCATTAAAGGGTGGAATATTATGGAAGCCCACTCAAGTGCGAATACAAAAGAATTTGCCCATTTTATGGTTTATGTCCAGCAAGCTTGGCAGCTATTAATCACATGTTTTCTACGTGTGGACTTGTTTGGTTCAAATTGTGAATTAGTTTGGGTCTTAATAAAGCTAAAACGCTTGCAAAAGCTTATAGACATTAAAGAGTGAATTAGAACTTGATGAGATTATTACAGAACTTTAACTCATTTCATTTTATTTTTACTTTGCTGATATATCATTAATTACAGAATGTAAATTACAGAATTTTTTTCTAAAATGAATATTATGTAATATCCTTTAGATTAAAAAATTGTGATAAAATAAAGAGTACCATGTGTTCCATTTCTCTGCAATGTTAAAATATTTTTTATTCTTTGAAATATGATATATTTCTATTAAATGAAAATTTCAAAAATGTATTCAAAATTTTTGGTCAACTTTTTAGAATGTAATCAAAATTATTTGCTTAAAAATAAAAGAATATTTGAGAAAAAATATCAAAAATGTGTGAAAATATAACTAATAACAGGGAAAAAAAAGGTTAGCAAACCAACTCCTTTTTTTGTCATTTCTTAAAAAAACCCTAATTTAAGCATGGGTTTTTTAGATGTTTTTTTTTCTTCAATAATTGGGTGGTAGACAGCCCTAGTCACTGTGTCCCTTTTATATATATTTTTTTCCTCTAATGCTCTAATTACAAGATGAAATATATTTTGGAATTTTTTAATCAACAAAAAGCAGTCATAATAGCTACTAAAAAATTCTGTATAATTATCAGAATTATATTTGTTCTAAAATGTAAAATCCCCCAAAAGTAGTGTAATTGGTTATTTATATTATTTTATTTATATTAAAAAATTAATCAATATTTAATTTTGTGAATTAAAAGAAATTAATGATAAATAACTGTTTTTCTTAGATCTAAGAAAGATAAAATAAAAAGAGTACCATGTGTTCCATTTCTGCAATGTTAAAATATTTTTTATTCTTTAAAATATAATACATTTCTATTAAAGATAATATAATACAAATTCGAAAAATTATTGTTTGAAAGTGAGTCACTTTTACCTTTAATGCACATAAAAGACACGAGTGTTTCATGCTGTATTTCATTACCATAAATTATTCAAATGTTAAATAAAAATTTTTTTCTTATTTTTGACTTAAATTAATACAAAATAATAAAAAAAGTATAAAACATGTGTTTAATAAAAATTAATATTACATATAATGTTATTTTATTTTAGAATTGTGTAAAATTGAAGGATTTTTTTTTCTTTGTTATTGAAGAAATTATTCTTTACTTTCTAAAAATATTTTGAAAAAGCTATAGTAACTTAGTTGTATAATTTTGGGAAAATTTCAAACAGAAAAAAAAACAAGCAAAAAAAAANAAAAAAATCACAATAAATTGTTTTTTGAAAATATCTGGCTTTGGCAAAGTATTCACCCCAGCAAAGTATATGCAGAAATGAATCTTGCATGTCCAATTATTTTTTTCGAATGCATATTAATGAAAACGTATAGACTTATTTATTAAAAAAGTTTTTATGGATTATAGCAAATCATTATTATTGATATATTATAGCAATTCATAATTACTATTGAATTATTCTCAGCAGTGCCCTTTTGTTGTTCTATTTGTGCCTTTTATTAGGTTTTCTTATATTCTATTAATTATATTTTTATGTGCTATTCTATTAATTTTATTTTAAGTTTTATTTGGAATAAATTATTCCTTTTTAAAATTAAAATAAACACAGCTAATTGAATAAAAAAAGATTGAGGTAACTGTGTTTTATAAATTCTTATTTAGATAATTTTTATTATTAAATTCTTATGTTTATTTAGACCTTATTAAATATAATGCTGTGATCTGTTTCATTCTTGTGTAGATTAAGATATTGTTTTATTTCCTCTTGTTGGACTTGAAATAGCTTGACATTTAGGCTGCTTTAAAGAGCACCCATATAGACTCATTGAAAAAGTGAAAGCTGTACCCCCCCCCCCCAAAAAAAAAACTGAATTCTAAAGAAGCTGGATAATCTTTGAAATAAAAACCAGCAAACAGTCTTTGCTTTTGTTTAATTTGGAAAATTTTTTTTTTTTTAATCTACTTATTTCTGTTCCTCTTTTAGCATTTTTTTTAGTTCATTAATAAGATGAAATTACTTTTCTAATTTAAAGTTTGTTAATTTGTGCTGCATATTCTTCACATACAAATGAAATATTAGCAAGGGGAAAAATAAAAAAGCCTCTCTCTATTTATGAAAAAGGATATTCAACTTATAATATGCTTACATTTTATAATTTTAATTATTTGATCATATTAACATTTATCTTCATTATCCTCATTATTTCATCATATTAACATGTCATTGAATTAATAACGAAAACTTGTTAAAAATAGTAATTAATTATTGTTTAATTTTTAATAAATTATTTGAATATTGGATGTTTTGAGCTTTGTTTAAGTTCTGAAAGTACTTTCTGAATCTCTGACGATTTGGATATGAGACTTTTACCTTTTTTATCAATATAAATGTATAGTGCACAAAAAAAAGTGAAAATAATTTTGGTTTTAATGATGGATATATCACATATTAAAATGCTATCTTACCTAACCTAATTATCTAAATAACCTAAGATATGCTAATTAATCAAACTAAAGATATATATTTATTCTAAATGAATATACATTCTCCTTCCAATAGATTTATATTTTGTGCCCCTTAGAATGTATGAGTGGGCACTTATTCAGCAATTTGCCAATTTAGTTTATCTTTGCTAATTAATTTTCTTTTTTCATCTTTGTATTTATAAATGGTTCAATATTAACTATGGCAGTAGTAGTATAAACTAGCCACCATGCAATAAGTGCTACATATTGTGCCTGATTAAATTGTTAATTTTATATAATTTTTGCTTTGAAATTAGCCAACATGTTAAATATAATTACTTGATTAAATTTCTGATTTTAAAAATTCTTAGGTTGCAGTCTCTGCAGGGAAGAAAACCAGCCCATCTAAAAATAATATAAATGTTTCTTCTGAAGCAAAAAGATCGAAATTACTGGAGTTAGTTGATACTCTTAATATGAGACAAAATTCAATAGAATTGAATGAGGACAATGAGGAAGACGACTATTTTAATGATATTTCATTTTGAAACCACTGTTTTAGCAGAACATTTTGTCCATGGCTTTAAAATGTTTTTCAATCTAAATTCTTTTTCTATGTTTCATTAACATATTCAATGTTTCCATATCACTTTGTGTAATGACTCAATAAATTTCATAAAGGACTTCCTTGAACTTGTATTATAATTTATTTTCTCTCTTTATTAAAATTCTTTCTGGTATCAATATGATTTTCTGAAATAATTCTTTTTTTCATTTCTTATTTATAAGCATGTTTAAAATAACTTTGAAAAAATACATTTTTCTTTTTTTTTTAATGCAAATTTTTAATAAGTTGAATAATATCAATTCTGTTCTGAGCAAACTAGTTCTGTTCTGAGCTTTTCAAAGTAATTATAATGAGTATTTTTGGACAATCTTAAGTTTTTTTAAAAAAGAATTTCTCTGATTTCATTTGATTTAAGTTGTCTGGGTTATTTATTTAAATAAAATATTTTAGTTCTTAATTTATTTGATTAAATGTTCATGAAATTTTCATTCATTTAATTGTTAATGAAATATTTTTGATGTTAAAGTTTTGTGTTTTGAAAATTAACTAAGAACTTTTTTTATTAAAATAAATGGTGGCAAGACTAAGACCAATGGAAAAACTTCCATTGTATCTGTGTTACTAAAAATGATGTGAAAAGTTACGAGAACTACATCTAGATTTAAAAGCTGTTTAAATAATTTTTCAATGAACTAAAGTGAAAGTTTAGTTAAATAGAGTTGCCAACTGTTTGTTGTAAAGTTGTCAATAAAGCATTTTAATTGTAAAGATTTTTTCAAAACATATACTAATAAGCAAAGTACTCCTTATTTTAACAGCTAATTTTTTAATTTTTTTTAAATGATTGTAAGTAATTAATAAAAGTAATTATTAGTTTAATTATCTTTAAATATATCTCCTTTTCTGTTTTAAATTTGTTTTCAACATCTTAAATTGGTACACCAAAATTATGATTTGATGAATATGTCTAATAATTTATGTTTGTATTTCAAGAAAGTATTGAAATGTCTTTGCTCTGTAAAACTACATGTTCAACTTTCAAATCCAATTTCAGTCTTTATTCTGTTTCACAGATTGAGCTCATTAATATATCAGGGCTCTTAATTGTATTAATATTTCTGAGGAAAAAAAAGTGTCCTTTTTTATCCTGATTTTGCGGGCATGTTCAGATCATATCATTTTCTATCAATATAAAAATTGATGGGAAAAATCAAAAGATTTGAATTTTTATTCCAACATCTTTTTAACTGCCGCTTATTGGTATGAGAGAATAATTATTAATTTGTAATGTTTTTTTTTTTAATGCAGCAATTTATAAAATTTTTGCTATGTAACTATTATTTGCTGTTCCTTGTTCTATTAATAAAATTATGTTGAAAAACAATGTTCTGCTCTAAACAGTGTAATTTTGTAATTGAATATAGTATGTTTTATTATTTTTTCCAAGAAAATTTGCCTTTATTGTACTTAATTATGCTTTTTTTGAAGTTTTTTTTTCTCCTTTTCCATCCTTAAGTGGGATGATATGCAGTGGAACCCGCTTACGAAGTTTTTCAAGGGAGTGGAAAGAAATGACTTATTAAACTGGAAAACTTCTTAAACGGTGAAGTTTAAAAACACACAAATTCAAAACTAAAAATTTTTGTAACTTATATTACAGGATCAGCATAATGGAATAAATATTTAATTTTACTATTCATTTAGACAAAAATTGCTTATAAATAAAAGCAAAGTTACCTACCTTATTTTTTATTTTATATAATGTTACACAGAGGATTTACACAGACATGCACAATTTTTACATTTGTTGATAAGATTTTTGCTAGAAAAAATCGTGTAAAGTGGTTTGTTTTTGTTTCTTCTCACCGTCCTTTAACTGAAAATTGTCCAACTACTGTAAATATTTGAACATTTCTGGGGGCACATTTTTAACACAGTAAATTGTTTTTTGTTAATTTTGCATAGTTCAGGTACCTGTTTTTGTGACAGAAAGTTAAAACTAGATAAGGTATTTTAAAGTTAAAAAAAAAGAAGAAAATTAAAAGCACGCGGAAACTTCTTAAACGGGAAAAGACCTTTTTATAAAGATAAACTTAACATTATGGTATTTTTTTCTTAAACAACTTCTTAGGTGGGAAAACTTTTTAAATGTGTTCCTCTGTATACTATAATGGTACATGTATCTGTGAAACTTGATCTATAATTAAGTAATGTTAAGTAATGATGTAAAATGTTATATACAAGTATACCTGTATTGATTGATCTAATAACTCTTGAAAATATCATCTGAATTACCTATTCAATATTTTTTTAAGTTTAAAAAAATACTTTTTTTCTTATAAATTAAAAAGAAGTTTGATTTAAATCCAAAAAGTCTGATTTAAATTAACTAGATTTTTTATGTATTTTTTTCTTTTAGAAAAACAAAAAAACATGAAACCCTATTATTCTAACATTTTTATTTTCCTTGACATAATTAAATCTCGTTCCTTTAGCAAATGTTTTATTCATGTAAAATTTTTTTTAGTTCAGTGAACAAAAATGTGCGAATGGTTTACCCAATTGTATGGTGAATGATTTGTCCCTAACCACTGAAATAAATTTTTTTTTATTTTTAAAGTTCAAGCTTTAAGGTTGTTGAAGTCATTAAGAAAACTCCAATGTTAGAATTAAAAAAGCAGTCTGAACAAGAACTTTAAAAAATGTTTCTGAAACTTTTTAATTTAATTACAAAAATACATTATGGCAGGTTGAAGTTACTTTAAAACACATTAAATGAGCGTGATATTTACATTATTTTTCAGGAGTTGTAAGATTAATCCACACATTTTCTATCCTGAGTTTGGTACTAAAAGCGGATAACTCAATATTTTTCAATTTTGAGTTATGCATACTGTTTTACAATTAAGTATTCTCATTGTATGTTTGAAATGTTACAACTAGATAATTTTGCATCTAACCAGGTATAGAAACTCAGTTAAAAGTGTTAGAACAAAAATATTTCTTTTAATGTAACCAAATATCAAGTAAGAGCATTAATTTTTATTAAAACAGATTGTAAAGTTAACCAATATATATTATATTTAATTTATTGTCAAGAGAGTCATTTTCAATGACCAGTAAAACAAGGAAAGTGTAACAAAAAATGTTTACACTATCAACAGTTCTGAAAACTTTTAAATTTCATGAAAAATATGGTTTATGATGGTTAGAACATAAAAGATTAATCAGAACACAAAAATATGCAGTACGGACACAAAAATGAACATTGTTGATGCATGTCATTTTTGTTGATAATATTTTTATAAAAAGTAACTATTAAAGCTTGTATTTTCTTGAAAATTCTTTCAAATTTTTCNTTTTCTTTTTAAAGTGCAAGCATACAAAAGTATAAGGTTGTTGAAGTCATTAAGAAAACTCCAATGTTAGAATTAAAAAAGCAGTCAGAACAAGAACTTTAAAAAATGTTTCTGAAACTTTTAAATTTAATTACAAAAATACTTTATGGCAGGTTGAAGTTACTTTGAAACACATTAAATGAGCGTGTTATTTACATTATATTTTCAGGAGTTGTAAGATCAATCCACACATTTTCTATCGTGAGTTTGGTACAAAAAGCGGATAACTCAATATTTTTCAATTTTGAGTTATGCATACTGTTTTGCAATTAAGTATTCTCATTATATATTTGAAATGTTACAACTAGATAATTTTGCATCTAACCAGGTATGGAAACTCAGTTAAAAGTGTTAGAACAAAAATATTTCTTTCAATGTAACCAAATATCAAGTAAGAGCATTAATTTTTTATCAAAACAGATTTTAGAGTTACCCAATATATATTTTATTAAATTTACTGTCAAGAGAGTCATTTTCAATGACCAGTAAAACAAGGAAAGTGTAACAAAAAATGTTTACACTATCAACAGTTCTAAAAACTTTTAAATTTCATGAAAAATATGGTTCATGGTGGTTAGAACAAAAAGATTAATCAGAACAAAGACATATGCAGTACGGACACAAAAATGAACATTGTTGATGCATGTCATTTTTGTTGATAATATTTTTATAAAAAGTAACTATTAAAGCTTGTATTTTTTTGAAAATTCTTTCAAATTTTTCCCCGAGTGAGTACTTGAGAATAATGAAATATTATTTTTTTAAAAAAGCATTTGCTTGGTCATAAGAAAATTAAAGGAGTGTTTTATATGATTAATGTAAATATTATTTTTAATTTTGTATATTATATATTTTTTTGTTTTTAGTTTTACTTTTAAAATAGTACATAAGAAAATTTTGTATTGTAATTATTTTTGTTTGTATTTTTCCTATTGTCAATTGTATGAAGAAAAAAAAAACTGTAACATATTTTAAATTAGGTTTTTCTATGAAACATTAAAAATAGTTTTCATCTTCATATGATTTTATATGTATACTCTATTTTTATATGTTAATAAAATTGTACTAAATTCTTTTTAAATGGGGGTTTTATTGCTGTCTGAAAATAAAACTTTTAATACAATTCAACTCAAAGAGTTATTGGACTGAAATAGAAATTTAAATTTTTTTAATGATAGTAGAGCGCTGATTATCCGGAGTGGTTTGGAATTCAAATGATTAGACAACTTTAAAAAAGCATCTTATAGATCCTAGGTTCCAAACATGAGCTCTATCTCCCCCCTCCCCAGTGGGCCGTAATGATAAGTTCAAAGTAATTAAAGGATGCTAGAAATTTTTGAGGGTTGTTAAACAAACTATGCATGAAATTCGTATTGATTACACATTCATACATTTTTTAGTTTGGTATCAAAAAATTATTTTTAATTCTAATGCAGCATATAATAATTGTTATTAAAGCTGTTATCTTGTTAAGATTGTTAGTCTTTAAAAAGAAAACAAGGTTTCTGAATGATTGTAATCGAATAATGCAATACCCACTTTTCGATTATAACTGAGTGGATATGATATTCCAATAATTTGGAAACTTTTGTGCCTCCGTGGCTTATAAATTTCACCTAAAGGGCTGATTCTTTCAAATTTTTCTCTGAGCAAGTACTTAAGAATAATGAAACTTATTAGTTTTTTTTAAAAAGTTTTGTTTTGCCATTATGGAAATTAAAGGAATATTTTACAGGATTAATATAAATATTACTTTTAACTTTGTATATTATATATATATTTTTTAGTTTTACTTTTAGATTTATGTCAATGTATTGTACATAATGAAATTTTGTATTTCTATTACTTGTTGATTGTATCTTTCTTATTGTCGATTGTACCAATAAAAAAAGCAAAAAAAGAAGAAAAAAAACTTGTGTATTTTAAATTACGCTTTTCTATCAAACATTATAAAATAGTTTTCATCTTTATATGATTTTATTTGTATACTCCATTTTTAAATGTTTTTTAAAAAAACTTTTATTTTAAAATACTAAATTCTTTTTAAATGGAAGTGTTTTTGCTGTCTGGAAATAAATAGACATTTAAATTTTTTTCATATTATAGTAGAGCACTGATTATCCTTTCTGGTTTGGAATCTGAATTATTAGACTACTTTAAAAAGGCATCTTGTAGATCCTAGGTTCCCCCCTAGCCCTAGGCTATAGTCTCCCGAGTGGGCGGTGTAATCAAAATATTATTTACAGTTCTAATTCAGCGTGTAATATTTGTTATTAAACAGGGATGAGATTCTTCCGCGGATTCGCGGATTTCCGCTTTTTTTCAGATTTTTCCATTTTTCCCGCTAATTTCCGCTGAAATTTTTTTTGTACAAGTTAAAATATTTTATAAGGAATTTAATTTTCCCCAGAGGGAAATTATTGAAGTCCCTTTTCCTCCCTCTGAAGTTTCTCTAAAAATCATTTCCTTGGGATAAAACTGGTTGACCTTTATGCAGGGATGAGATTTTTTTTGTCTCTCGAATTTCAGCCTTTTTATCAAAAACTCCGATTCTCTAAAAGTTTCGTTTTTTTTAAATAAATATCCCGTTTTTTTTTAAATTCAGTCATTGAAGTAAAATAATTATATTTATTTACGATTTTCAAAGATAAACAGAAAATTCAAT